TCCTTACTACAAAGCTAGATGAAACCAGAGAATAAAGTAATGAATGCAAGATGCTGAAAAGTAACCTCTCTTTGATAGCAAGAATATTTGTATGAAAAAGTCATATATTATCCATCTATTAACGTGGAGTATATTGGTACTTTAACGAGCACACATCCAACTTGGTCCTTGTTAGAAACACTTATGCATTTACGTATTGTCAGCTTGTTCCGGACAGCTACAATTTACCAGGCAACTTTTCTGTTCGGTGAAGAAGCTAGACAGCGTACTTTGTTGGCTTTTCACTGGATCTGAATAAATCCCATATACTCGGAATGGAAAAACCTGTGAATAACACATTAATATGAGATGAATTCACCTAATTTCGTTTTAAGGTGATGAAGGACTGGTATAAGAAGAATTTTCCCCCAATGATATGAGGAGAGCTGACGTCTACCAGTCCTTCATCCCCTTAAAACGAAATAGGGTGAATACATCTCATATTACTGATTTACTGGTAGTCACGAAAACAATACTTAATAAGAAAAAATAAAAACACATTAGTTGAAATATATATGATGTTTTCATCCCATTTCATTTAAGGTGATAAAGGGACTGGTAGTGGAAGTTTCCCATTAAAAATAATTAATGTGGATGCGAAGAGTAACAGGATTTCAATCAATCATTTGACATATCATTGTTCAAGAGACCTTTACCAGAATGAGTACCAGATCTGAAGATGTCCATCATGTGATGGACAAAGGCTCAGCCGGTTCTGGCCAAAACGAGAGAGGAAGTCTCGTGGACTGCGCCAATCTGAACGTCGTATTAAAACCAAACGGCTGCAGTACAACGTGTTGAAGCCGTCCTCCTCTGGTGAGATTGACCTAAGGATGTCTTATACATGCACTTTCATGTGAAATGCAATTCTCCCCAATAAGCAATGTATTAGATTGTCATAGCAAATACAACGTTGCTTCATCGACAGTCCTACTTCATAATGTAATATGGGAAAATGTCTGGCTTTCGTTGAAATTCACATCTGCCCTGTAGCCCTAGGACACACGTGGCAACGTGACGCAGTAGTCAACGTGTCGAAGTTATGGTTCGAGACGAGGTTGAAACTGCAGTCCACTCAAGCCTGGATGAGAATTGCTTTTGGCAAAGCAAGACTATGTGAAATGCAATGGAAAACATCAGCTCAACTGTAATGAATGTGGGAAAATTCAATTACCAGTCTTTCATCACCTTAACTGAAATAGGGTGAGCACAACGCATATATCTCGAAAACCTACTCACTCACATTATGACCAAGTTGTGAAAACAATCTTGAACAACAACTATACAACGAAAGGACATCGCCAACATACAAAATGCCACACAATTTCGGTCTTCATACATTTGATTGCATCAATTAGTATTGGTCGACTTCATTTTCGCAATTTGATCGGAGCGAAAGACAAACCTTATGGAAGGTACTTCGTCCAGTGCCCTCTGCCAGAGAGTTCATTATGATTTCTAACATATGACGTTAGTGTGGTACATTCCAAGACGTGTCCCCGACATCGTCTCTAAGCGGCGCCGTCCTGAGCACAGAATTACAACTTGTCAAGGTGACAAGTGAGATCCATCCACTTGCCAAATTTTCTATTCAACAGTTGTGGTATCTCCTTTTCCCTCTTTGGGCCCAGCTTCTGACGCAGCATGCCCATCTCTCGACCTCACTTCATATGGTCCATTTACCCATTCACACCATTATGTGTCTTCGTCTGCTCCAAGTATCACTTCTTCTTCTTATTCTTCTTCTTGTTCTTCTTGTTCTTCTTGTTCTTCTTGTTCTTCATGTTCTTCTTGTTCTTCTTGTTCTTCTTGTTCTTCTTGTTCTTCTTGTTCTTCTTGTTCTTCTTGTTCTTCTTGTTCTTCTTCTTCTTGGCCTTTAGAACCATGAGCCATCTATTATCCCCTTTCCCACCCCACCTCATGTGGACCGCTTCACTTCCACCCTAATGCTCATTTATTTTGTCCCTCACGTTGACAGTCCCTCCTATTACTCATTTTATAGTCAGTTGTGCTTGTGTATGTTGGCTGCTAACTCCCCTGGTCAGACATTTTATCAGCCAGCTCTCACTACAAGCAGACGCTCCACATGCACATGAATACGCACAAACACCAACACCCACTTAACGCATGTACTGGGCACCAACTGATATTGTGTCTCCAGCTCAGTTTCCACACTCACGTGGATTTGAAACTGATCAAGACCTCTCGCTTAGTATTTATAATGGGGTACTATTCGGATGTTTATCATATTTCAATTCTGTATCCCCCAAGTGATTCCACATCGGTTACTCCACTCATTGCAATCGCCTTCGCTTTACTATTAATTGTCCATAATTGTCCATATTTCTTCACATATAAGAGCCGTATTCATCCTATTTCGCTTAAGATGATCAAGGACTGGTAGTTCAATCTTCACAAAACTATATGAGTATATCTTACTTTTCCATTAAATTCATTTTAGTTTCGCTTCCCTAAATGCCTTTTAACTCCGAATTACGCAGAATACAATTTTGACCTGGCCTGAACTGGTCACACCAGTACCACCAGCAGGACTCGAATCGTAACAGTATAGGTACAATAACTAATACTACGACAAGTTCCAGTCCTTGGTCAGCTAAAACGAAATTAGTGGATATAGCCCTTATTTCACATCAACCGCTAGTCACTTAAAGCCCAATTATGTACGAATAGAATGCGGGTTTTGAGCAACTTCTTTGTCTCTAGTTGCTTAGCTTACTTGCATTTCAAATTAAA